TTGACTGCATTGGGTGACCACCGTGCACCCAGCCGCGCGAGCCTACGTCGTGGGCCGCAGAGAGGACGGTTTGCACAGCTAAACCCACTGGACTGTACTTCTATGGTTCCACTTCTACTCCCTCCGCCTTCCAAGTAACCGCCGCGCTGAGCAAGCCTGGTGAATGAAGTATGATCCAATACCCCCCCCCCCACCGCCCCCCCCGCAACAAACCCGCACGGCTTGGGGAGATCCTCATCCAGCACGGGATTTACAAATGGGGCCGCAGGGAATTGTGAGAGGAGATACGAACTCAGCGCATCGGTCGGGGAGCCAATGCACAGCGCCACTATCTTCTCCCACCGCGCCACCGCTCCATCAAGACCACACCGTGCGTATTTTATCAAACTTGTAAAAAAAAAAAGGCCGACAGGATCTACCCACAACCGAATGAACGTCTCCGCCGCCCCGTCGCCATCACTCGCCGGACCGGCGCGCCGCTGCGGCGCGATCCGTCTCGCTCGCGCACGATCGAGACGACCCCATCGCTCCCATCCGTCCGCGGCGAGGCCTCTACATCCACGTGGGCTCGCTCCTTCCTTTGGCCGACACTCCGTTAGCAGTCTCGTCCCATCGGGCATCCTCCCGCGCATAGCTGTGACACCAACCGCCCAAGTACGAATTATTTACATTTTCACCATTGGAACCTCATTTGCCAGTAAAAAATATGATAATTGGTTTTTTACCCTTCTATCTGGCAACAAAACTGACACCTTTTTTACAAGGAGTCATGTTTGCATAGACCACAATACCTGCAGCCATAATGCAAGCAAAAACATAACTCTGATAATATATGCACAATCAACTTCAAGGACAGTGCATATATCAGAGTTATGTTTTTTGTTTGCATTATGGCTGCAGGTATTGTGGTCTATGCAAACATGACTCCTTGTAAAAAGGTGTCAGTTTTTGCCAGATAGAAAGGTAAAAAAACATTATCATATTTTCATTTTGTTGCCCTAATCGACGTCGCTCCGATTTGTGTTTGTACCCCGATCCGTGAGTTCCTCGTCCCGTCTCCCGGGCCGTGCGTGCATGTCCCTGCGAGCTTCCCGTGGGGCACGTTTAACATTCGCTGCCATTTCCCCTGCGGACTTCGATGTTTCTCGTCCGTACATCAGAGCTGCAGCGGTGTCCACGGCAGTTTGCGTTCCCCGCGTGGGGCCGTTAGGGAGTGGAGCGATGATATGAGCTCGTGCGCAGGTGCCGCGTGGATTGTTGCGACATGGCAAATGTCGAGATGGGGGGGGGTGGCAGCGGCTCAAGATGATACTCGGGGAGGCCTTTATCCAGTGGATTGAGCATGGCTGCTGCTGATGCCGATGATCAATGGCTACAACTTTAGATGGGAAACCGCCAAAGATGTGTTTTCTGTTATGGAGCGCGGTGGCGAGATGTTAACTACCTCGCCGGGTATACAGGAGGTCGTGGGTTCAATCCCGACCCTGACTACCTGCTGTATATTGGGAGTCTGCGTGTCTCTCTCCATCCACGTTAAGAATTAACATGCGTTTAGAGCAGTGGTTCTTCACCTGGGGTGCAAGCTCCCAGCTCGGGGTGCGAGATACACAAATTCAGCACTGGCACCTAACTACAACTACTTTGTTCCATCAAGCCTATGTTCTTATTCACATTACATTTTATTTGTTTACGATTGAGAAACAAAAGGGGTGCAAGGCTGCAGTCAAGGTTAAGTGGCTTATTGTATTTGCCCGCGACACATTTGTGATCGCCAGTCGCTTCTGAACAAGAGCTGCACAGCCCAGTGGGGCCTTCTTGCCTGGCACAATAGTTTAGTTCATAGGCACGGAGCGCTACGAGGCCTGCCGAACTATAACTGCGGAGCGGTGGATCCTTAAATCTGTCTGTGCAGAGATCTCCTCTAATGTCCACGCGTGGAGGGTTTTCTGCAAAGTCTCGTCACCGTTTCAATTTCTCAACATGTCCCAATGCAGCACGACTCTGCTGCCAACCCAGCGTGGCCTTCTCGCGGAAGCAATTTCGCATCAATATTCCATCACCGTCATCAAACAGCCGTGATCTGTCCACTGCTGAATGAAGGCTTCGCGCACAAACGCCGCCGTGATCTGGCCCCACGGTCTCGCGACGCTGCAACGATCGTCCACTCGTCCACCCATCGTCCACCCATCGTCGCCTTGTGCACGAGTCGATTTCATCGCTCCCATCTGTTCGAGCCCCTCGTGCCGAGGTTCAATCCTTTGGCTGGCATTCCGTCGCTAGCCTCGACTGCCAGGCCGTCACCATCATCATCATCCCATCTCTAGCCATGCCAGTGTCAATATCGCCTCCAGCGTAATATGCAACGCACTTCCCTATAACAATAGACGATATCCCTCGGAACGTGCGCTCACGCACACGCGAGCTTATGTAACGTGAGGACATTTATAGGCACGCATGTTGTATGTGTGATTTAATATTATTAATGTGCGAACAAGACTAATATTTCGTGACATTTCTGGGGCTGGGAAACGTAGAAGGGAGATTTGACCTTTTTCCGTTTTAGGATTTGCGTGGAGTTTTTCTTTGTTTGTTATATCTATAGACTGTTGCAGCTGCAGCAGCAGCTATACCTGTCACAAGAGCCAATGTTGCGAGAACGCAATACAGCCAAAGTAGCATCGGCTATGCATTGGTTATTAGCGGATGCATGTACGCACGTACGCAAGCAATTGAACTCACGATTTACAGACACGCAGACACACACGTGGGTGGTGCACACAGAGAAAGATTGCCCCCCGAACAGCCTGAACAGACTGTTGGGGCAAGTGCTGTGAGCGAGCACACTCACGCACGGACATAGACGGACGTGCATGCATTCACAAAAGACAGAGGTTCCTCCGCATAGCCTGCACAGACTGTCAGGGCAAGTGCTGTGAGCGAGAACCCTACGTACGTATGGACATGTGTACGAACGCACATACATACAAAGATGCCCCGTATAGCCTGAACAGACTGTTGGGGCAAGTGCTGTGAGCGAGCACACTCACGCACGGACATAGACGGACGTGCATGCATTCACAAAAGACAGAGGTTCCTCCGCATAGCCTGCACAGACTGTCAGGGCAAGTGCTGTGAGCGAGAACCCTACGTACGTATGGACATGTGTACGAACGCACATACATACAAAGATGCCCCGTATAGCCTGAACAGACTGTTGGGGCAAGTGCTGTGAGCGAGCACACTCACGCACGGACATAGACGGACGTGCATGCATTCACAAAAGACAGAGGTTCCTCCGCATAGCCTGCACAGACTGTCAGGGCAAGTGCTGTGAGCGAGAACCCTACGTACGTATGGACATGTGTACGAACGCACATACATACAAAGATGCCCCGTATAGCCTGAACAGACTGTTGGGGCAAGTGCTGTGAGCGTGTGTACGGCACGTACATACGCAAACGTGCATAATAAATAAAAACGCAATGTAACACAGATACAGTGTAACACATAAGACAAACACACACATGCATCGGCACATCCACGCACACAAACCCAGGCATCACAACATGTACAAACAAAGATCCCACTATAAGCCTTGGGGCAAGTGGTATTCGCGAGCATCTATGAAGGCCGGAACGGCACACGTGGGGTGGGTGGCCAACACCACGCCCGGCTGCCTTTGTCTCCCCTGCGGCGATGTTTACACACCGCTCCAGATACACATTTTGGGCCGAATCTACCTAGGGGGGGGGGAGGCCGGGACCGGTTCAAGAAATTCTCACCGGTGTTGGCCGTGAGCGGAAATCGAACTCGGCCGCCGGGTTTATAATTCACACACACAACCAGTTTGACAAACCGTCTGGCATGCATTTTAATGGCAATCACATTACGCATAAAGCGTTACGTTAAATGTTCTTCATTTCATAATTCGGAGGTGGCGACACACAGCCTCGTGAAACCGCCCAGGCGTGTCGACTGATCGAAAAATTGATTCGTCACGAATCGGGCTGCCCACACTTCGCCAAATATCCCGAGGCAGGAGGAGGGAGCCTCCCGACAATTTGCCTCGAGACTCCGCGTGGCCTTGCTGGGGTAGAGGGGTGAAAACAGAAATGCGGCACTTATGATTGAAATTCAGTCACGTGTCAAACGCTAATCAACACACGGTCGTGCACGTGCGGTAACACACAGCACACACAGCACGCGCACGTATGTGCACAAAGACAAATATCCTCCGTATAGCTGTCGAGGCAAGTGCTGTGTTTTTTTTATTAAGCATGTATTAATATTAGCATCACTCCCGGCCGCCTTTGTCTCCCCAGAGCTGACGTTTTCGCACTGCACCGTGTACATCGAGTGGACCCAGTGCAGAGTCCGGAGCGGTTTCAGAGATTCGCCGCTGATGTTGGGCCGTGAGTAGGATTCTAATTCTGGTCGCCGGGGGTTTTAACGCAGTGCGCTAACCACTACGCCACCGCTCGTACCACACACACACTAAAGAATTACAAACACACACACACATCTGCAGTGCATATACACACACGGACTACATACACACTTGCAGTACACACCGAGTTGATATAGATGCAGTACACACACGTGCAATACACGCGTACACTTGCATGCAGTACAGACACACACGGACGTGAACACATACACGCAACCCCCCTCCCATATACCCTTGAACAGACTATTAGGTCGTGCTGTTAGCGAGCACCTATTAAAGCCGGCAGTGCGCAGGACAGCTGTCATGTGGCTATCCCCACACTGTTAGCCGTCTTTATCTCTCAAATCGACGATGGCCATGAACACGGGTGCACCACCAAGGTAGTATATTTGTTGTTGTTGTTGTTTAAAAGAGGCTGGCTCGACCATGTGGAGGAGTAGGCCCACGACGCGCATTGATCACCCCCGTGGCTTTGGGACTCGGCTACGAGCAGAGGCAACGTGAGCGCCGCTGAAAATCCCACCACCACCACCTCCCCCCAACCCACCTTCTCTCAAGCCTCGCGCCGACAATTCCACCTCATCGCCAGCGTCTCCATCGCCGCCGTCTCCATCACGGCCGTCATCGCGTCCACCGCGATCTTCATCCCAAGCTCGCGCGATGACGACGACGACGATGGTGGATGGTGGTGCATCACGCGACATATGCGTTGTTGCTGGCTGTCCTTGTTGCAGGCAACATCCAGCAGCGGCGGTTGACACGTCACGTATCTAGCAATTAATTTGCCGTCAACCCCAAAGGAGGCGCGTTCATTAGACGCATCGTAACAGGTATGCGAGCGAGCGTCCGTTTAAATCCAATCGCCGCACACCCCTCCCCCCCTCCGCCTAAAATGATAATAAAAATGAATACAAATGAAAACAATGAAATCTCAATGTGATTTACTCATTCCGGGCAGCCACGGCGCCGACGACGAAAAAAATGCCGATTGTGAAGAGGTGACAGTAGAGGAGATGATGCTGCTGCTGATGATGATGCTGCTGATGATGCTGCCGCTGCTGATGATGATTCTGCTGCTGATGATGCTGCTACTGCTGCTGCTGGTGATGATGCTGCTACTGCTTATGCTGCTGCTACTACTGATGATGCTACTGATGATGATGCTGCTACTGCTGATGATGCTGCTGCTGATGATGCTGCTGCTGCTACTGCTGCTGCTACTGCTGATGATGATGCTGCGCTTCTCCGTGATTCTTCATAGCGAAGGGCGCCGATGGCTGCTCACGGCTGCGCGGGTGAATTGAGAAGCGATGTGGGGTCTCTCTCTCTCTCTCGCTGTGTCTCCATCTCTCCCTCGCTGTGTCCTCTCTCTCTACCTCTCTCTTCTCGCTCCCTTCCTCTCACCCCTCGCTCCCTCCCCCTCGTCGCTGCCCCCCCCCTCTCTCTTCTCTCTCCCTCCCCTCTTGCCCGTCCGCTGCTTCTCTCTCTCACCCCCCCCCCGTGCCTCTCTCCCCAGTGATTGTCTCTCTCTTTTCTCTCCCTCCCTTCTCCCTGTATTTCTCCTCGCGCTCTCCCACCGCTCTCTCTCTCCCCGTGTCGCTCTCTTCCCTTGCTTATATCTCCCCCTTCTCTCTCATTTTTTTTACGATCACAGGAAACAAGAAGATGCTCGGTTTAGTCGGCACTTTGCTTCGTTCATGTCGTTTTTTTTTTGGGGGGGGGTTTCCTTTGCTTTGTGCTGCCCCCCTTTTAAATTAAATATTTTCCGTGTTTTCCCTCTCTCGCGATGCTTAAACTCCCCCCACCTCGCTCTCTCTCCTCTCTATGCACTCGCTCCCTCCCGCGACCCTCTCTCCTCGTCTCCCACTGCCTCGCGATCTGTCGGTCTCCCAGATCTCTCCACTTTCCCCACTTGTTCACTCTCGCACGCTCTCCCTCATCCCGAGCTCTCATCTCCCTCTCCCGTATCGCCCTCTCGGCTCTCTCCCATCGCTCTCGACTCACCGTAAATCTGACTTTCTCTCCTATATCTCCTCCACTCGCTCGCCTCTCGTCCTACTCTCCAGCGCCTCCCCACTCTCTCTCTGTGCATCCTCCCTCTCTCCAGTCTCACACTCCGCTCTTTCGCCTGTCTTGATTTATCTCTCTCTCTCTCCATCCCTTTTTTTTTGGCTCCCCAAAGACTCAAATTTTAACTCTTTCCACAATTCTTCCTATTCGATCACCTCTCTTTTTTTGTACGATCAGAGGAAACAAGAAGATGCTCGGTGTAGTCGGCACTTTGCTTCGTTCATCATTTAGGTGTTTTGTTTTTTGTTCAATGCTTTGCTTTATGTGCCCCCCCCCTTTTTAAATGAAAAATTTCACGAAAGATGTCACGCTCTGCTCTCCTCATTCTTACCCCTCTCTCTACCCCGCCTCTCTCTACCCCACCTCTCTCTACCCCCCTCTCTCCCTCCTTCATGTCTATGTTCCCCCTGTTTTCTATGTAATATTTGTATAAATATAAATTAACTACGACAAGTGCTGCATCTGCACGCAGCCCTTCTCACAGTCTTACGGCCTCCGACGGGCAGCTCATATCAGCATGCAGAGCTCCCCGTCATCTGCCACCGAGCACACGGCTTCCTCCATCGCCCACTGCTCCTTGAAGGCCGGCACGGCGTGGGTCAGCCGCGCCGCATGGCGGAACTCCGGCCCACACACCCTGGGGCTCCGACCAGAGCGCGGACGATGCCCAGGCTGCTGGCCGGACGTTTCCCCTCCAGGGCCACCTTCCTCGCCCTGTGCACGGCGAGCTTGGCGTAGCCGACAAGCACATTGACCAGCCCCTGAAGATGTTGGGATCCGTCGCCCTTCGAGTCTCCCTTATTCACTGCCTCTCCTCCTCCTCCTCCTCGCTCCCACTCTCCTTTCCCTCCCCAACTCTCTCCCCACGGTGGCGAGGAGATGTTAACTCCCTCGCCCGGTATGCAGGAGGTCGTGGGTTCCAGCTCGAATCTGGTCGCGTGGAATGTTCTTCGGTCGTCCGGTGTTTCCCTCCACATTTTGGAATCGTCAACACGCGTTTAGAGACGTTGCGTTGAGAGTGTTTGGCTGCCATGAATGTCCGCACGGTGACGACGAGCCACTTCGTTGGGCTGTCATTTGTGTCAGCCAGGTCGCTTCTGACAAAAGATCTGCACTGCTCAGTGGGACCTTACCTGGAAAAATAAAACAAGTTTTAATTTCATGATGACGATAGCAATCGTTATCTCTCTCCACTCTCCATCCCCCTTCTCTCTCTCTCCCTCCCCTCCCTTTCCACCCTTCACTCACCCCCCATCTTTATTCCTTTCCCCCCTCTCCCTCCCCCTCCCTCCTCTCCCTCCCCTCCCTCCCTTCTCCCTCCCCCCTCTCCCCCTGTCCTCCCCCTCTCTCCCCCCGCGTCCTCGCTTCAATGCGACCGCGCGGTTTGCACGCCCGCAGTGTTTTGCATTTGGGGGTGGGGGGGGATTTTGGGGTGTGGGGGGTGTAGAGTGGGGGTGGGGTATGAATGGTTGTGGATGGTGGTGTCGATGGTGATGGGGTGACGGTGGTGCAAAGTGCGGGCGGTTTGGCGTGTGGCGGGGCGGGGGTGGAAATGTGTGGGGGGGGGGTTTCGGGGGGGGGCAGCTGTGGGGAAGTTGGGGGGGGTCTGGGGGCGTGGGTGAGCAGTGGGGAATTTTGAGGTGAAGTGGTCGAGTTGAGATGGAGGTGGTGGGAGGGGTGGTGGTGCTGGTGGGGCTTTGGGCGGAGGGGAGTGTGGTGTGTGGGTGGTGGGTGTGTGTGGTGTTGGGTGTGTGGTGTGTAGTTGGTGTGTTTGTGGTGTGTTGTGTATGTGGGGTCGTGTTGTGTGTGTTGTGTGTGTGGGGTCGTGTTGTGTGGTATCGTGCTGTGTGTTGTGTGTGTGGTGTGTGGGGTCGTGTTGTGTGTGTGGGTGTGTGTTGTGTGTGTGGAGTCGTGTCGTGTGTGTTGTGTGTGTTGTGTGTGTTGTTGTGTGTGGTGTGTGGGGTCGTGTTGTGGTGGTGTTTGTGTGTGGGTGTGGGGTCCTGTTGTGTGGTGTGGTGGTGTGTTGTGTGTGTTTTGTCGTGTTGTGTGTGTGGGGTCGTGTGTGTGTGTGTGTGTGTTTGTGTGGGGTCGTGTTGTGTGTGTTGTGTGTGTGGGGTCGTGTTGTGTGTGTTGTGTGTGTTGTGCGTGTGGTGTCGTGGTGTTTGTGTGTGTGTTGTGTATGTGGGGTCGTGTTGTGTGTTGTGTGTGTGGGGTCGTGTTGTGTGTGTTGTGTGTGTTGTGCGTGTGGTGTCGTGTGTGGTGTGTGTTGTGTATGTGGGGTCGTGTTGTGTGTTGTGTGTGGTGGTGTCGTGTGTGTGTGGGTGGTGTGGTGTCGTGTTGTGTGTGTGTTGTGCGTGTGGTGTCGTGTGTGTTGTGTGTGTGTTGTGTATGTGGGGTCGTGTTGTGTGTTGTGTGTGTGGGTCGTGTTGTGTGTGTTGTGTGTGTTGTGCGTGTGGTGTCGTGTGTGTTTGTGTGTTGTGTATGTGGGGTCGTGTTGTGTGTT